TCCCCCCCCCCCTCTCTCTCGCCCTTGCCACTTCCTTTACTTCCTTTCCCTCGTTTCCTTTCATGCTCTTACCGTACCACCCTCTTTAAGATTAATTGTTTGACCTTCCGCACTTTTTACATCCCTCTTCACGACACATTACGCTATGGCCAACTACGTATTAGTGCTCCTTGGATTTCCTTTTATTTTTCTGTTTTGTTTTTTTTTTTTTTTTTTTTTTTTTTTTTTTTTTTAGACCCGCTTCTTAACCAGGTTTTTCGGTACGGCTGTAAGTGAATTGGGAGCTTCGAAAGAATGGAAGAGGCTGCTGGTATTTTTTTGGATTTGACATTGCGCCAGAAGCTGAGTGCATAATTGATCGTTGAGACGATTGTATTTGTGTAATGCGCAGCGAGGAGAATTTCTGATTCTTGGAAAAGGACTTGTAGATTCTTTTTTTCTTTCTTTCTTTTTTTCTTTCGCGAGATACGCAAGAACCAACTTTTTCGACTACTACAGTTTTATACTGGTCTTCGTTATCTTTGAATGTTAACTAAGAGCTTCCGCAGGAATAAAAGGATTTAAATAAGTGGCGAGTGCAGTGGGAACGGTCGTAAAGAAAGTTTAACAGGCTAGAAAAAGTAAAGAATTTACGTGCGAACCGGAAAGTGTCTTACGGCCCACCAGGAGATATCGACTTTAAATCAATTATGGACCCAGTCCGGAGGCTGAGGTAGAAACGAGAGACCGAAATACCAGTAAAGTCCTTTACTGAATTTTAATTATATTTTTCATTCCGATTAGCAATCACCGCGTTACAAAAATAAAATCAGAGGACCCCGAACCCTTCCCGAAACTTTTAACCGTGTTTGCACGATATTTTCCTCCAAACGCTCAATTAGGTGGATCCTCTTTTCTTTTAAAATCTCCAAAATACCACTCCCTCCTTCATAATTAATATTCCGCCTAATGATTCCACCGTAAATTCCTCCCCAATGCGAAAGGCATTTATAACGCTTTCAAATAATTCACCAATCACATCCCACAAACCGAACGAAGACGTAAAGGTCAAAGTTCGCGCACGCTAAATCCCTCACTAACTAAACCGGTAGCTCCGATGTCGAAATTACCCAAGATAAGATGGCCACCGGAAACGGGCCGTACTTGACTGACGTGACCCGAATGCCAGATTCCCTGGTGACGTACCATGTAATTGGAGTTATCTCAACGTCCGGGCATCTTCGGCCAAAGAGAGTCATCTGGCCCGGATGCAATTCCAAGTAAATTTCCAAATGGGTCATTGGGATTCGATCGAACGCACATATAATCCGCAAATAACTTAGCCCTGTATCGTACCGCCGTGATATAATGAGATTGGAAATTAATTACGGACAAATTGCAAATTTACCTAACAAATACAAATATCGTTATCGACCATTTTCGTCCTACTGCCTCGAGGATACGTAAACCGGAAATGGATTTCTCATATACATTCAAGGATACCGACTACCGGATATGACAGATATATATACAACCGCGTATACTTTCTCCCGAAAAAAAAAAAAAAAAAATAAAAAATAAAGAAAAAGAAGATAACTTTGTCGTAGTCATCCTCGAACGATTCACGGACTCAGCTCGATCTTATCTTAAAGATTACATCGGGCAGACTATGAGAGAACGTGTCCTTTTTTTCTCTCTTTGGGACTGGTTCAATTCCCTCTAGCTTTTATGATATCGCTTCCGACCCCCCAGCTTTGGGGGAAAGTTTCAACGACTCTTTGATGACGGTGCGTCGCCAAGTCGCGTTGCAGCTTTATTTTATGGGCGTCTATGGTGCAGCTATTGATTGCCAGTTCGGCGAAGACTGGAATTCTACGTCGTCCCTTGAATAATAGGAAGAGGCGTAATAAGATCGGCAAAGCGCCACGAGAGCCCCTATACCAGCTCCAACGTTAACCTCTTAGGGGTTCCGTAATGGCGAGGCACACTGATCGTTCGATCGAACCGGTCGAACTGTCTGGATTCGTTGTACAGGACGCCGCACGGTGTACGTGTATATATAAATATAGGCCAATATATTATTTAAGATAAAGGTAATCAGGCTAACCTTTAATCTTATTATTCCAAGCAATTAGGGAATAATTTTTTTTTTAACCAGCCCCAGAAAATACCCCGTGGCTCGTACGAGTTATTTTAATCAATCGCAGCGAATCAAATAGCAGCTAATTGGAATCGTGTACGTTCCTACAGATCGAGATTTCTCGGCTGAACAACTTTAATTACCCATCGGGAATAATCCAAGTCAATCGATGCTCGGTAGATTCACCGGGATCACAGAGATTGAGTAATGGCCGCAGGGAATGTACGCCGTTACCAGGAATAAGGCACCTGGAGTCGTGTTCGACGTGAAACTTGAAAATTCAAAAGTACACGGTACTATGGTAGCGTCTAGTGTATACGGAGCGACGGTAAAGTAAATTAAGATGACCCGATCGCGAGCCAATTAGTTCAGGGGGGTTAAGAGAGCGACGAGCCAGATGGCTCCGAGTGGCAGAAGGGTGCAAGAACCAATTGCGCGAAGTCTAAGGCAGAAAATCTGTCACGTTGTCTTTGCTCTCAATCACTCAAACACTTTGCGTCGTTGGGCCCTCGTTTCGATGAGAGCGTCGCGACGCCGGGAGAGCACGGTTCACGCGGTAGGCAGCGCTGTGAGGTCTGCCCTGTGCAATTGTACGGTGAAACAAAACAAAAGTACTCAATGGGCGAGAGAGAGAGATAGAGACATAGGTGGCTACGTCGCCCTGACAACGTATGACGTCGTCATCGTGCTACCGAGAGCTTCGTCCCCCAGATGTCCCCAGTGGGTCATTTCGATGCCATATGGCTGCTGAACTCGGATGCCCGAGTTTTCGACAATGGATTCGGCGTCCCTGCTCTTGTGTTCTCATTCGCGCCCACCTAGGAGCCTCGTGTCGACGGATTTCATCGTTCCTCGCGACATTACATTGCGAAGGTTTCCCAAGTTACTTCCGGCCACGTGGTTCGCGCGGCGACCAGTGACAATTCTACCTGCGGTTATCGGTACGCACGCGAAAGCTCATTCTTATATATCTATTACGTCACACGTTAATTTGAGTCCTCGTGAAATTGGGAACGAGATGGAATTGTGAGTCGGCGAGCCTTGTTAAAAAAAAAAGAATTAATCACTTGAAAACGAAATTCCCAGCGATCTTCGAACGCTCTGTACTTTCGAAATTATCGATGCAATTTTCCATTACGTCATTCGATTTTTCCACTTTTGCTTCATCGCCTCTCACGTCATTCCCCTCGCGCGAGGCTTTGCCTATTTTTTTCCTCTAAGCTATCGACCAGGGTAGTTTCGACTTAAAAAAGAGATTATCAATAAATTATTTTAATTATTAAAAAAAAAGAATCTCCGAGC